CGGGGGTTCAGGATATCCGGCCTGGCGAACCGAGCGAGGAGCAGGCCAGTTTTGGCGAGCTTTGCGATGAGGAACAAGCGCTGACGGCTCTTCTGAGACGGCGAGTTGCAAATGTCGACGACTGTGTTGTTGTAGAAATAAAAAGCAACGCTCCTCGACCTCAAGGCTCGAGATGCAGCGATGAGTCGGTCTGAGTCACGCTGGGGAGTCATCTTGCAGCAGACGATGGCAACAGTAATATATCAAGACCACCGTCCGGACGTGTGGATGTTTGTAAATCAAGCAAGCTGGCGTGAATCTCTATAGCTAGTTATTCTATTGCGCATACCATTGGAGTTGGCTCTCTTTCGCTCGGGACGATGATTTGCCTTGACGGCGGCACCCTCGAAGGAGGCGGCCAGCTCGTCCGCAACGCCGTCGCGCTGTCTGCGTTGACCGGCCAGCCAGTGCGGATAACCCGCATTCGAGGAAACAGGCCCGGGGCCACTGGACTCCGGTCGTCGCACGCAGCAGCGATACAGTGCTTGCTCGATATCTGCGGTGGGACGGCGGTGAACGCGACGGTGAGATCGTCCGAGATCACTTTTTACCCGCGCGGCCAGCAGGACGGTATTGAGCCGGCTGCAGCGAAAGAAAAGGACTTTGCTGCGGCGCTGCGGACGATCAAGCTGGAGGCTCTGGCGGGCGTGCCCCCCATACAGCCGCGATATAACGTGCGACTGAAGACTCCCGGCTCGGCGTTCCTGATATTCCAAGCGTTGTATCCCTACCTGCTGTATGCCGGCGCATGCGCGAATGCTCGGGCTGCAGAGCACGGGGAATGTCCACCAGAAGCAACCATCAAGCTGAGCGTGACGGGCGGAACCAATGTCTCGTTTTCTCCCTCATACGACTACGTCTCGCAGGTCCTCTGTCCCAATTTCGCGAGGCTGGGCCTGCCGCATCTCGACGTGGAGTTGAAGCACCGGGGCTGGAGCGCCGGCGCAACAGACTTGGGCGCGGTGTCGTTCCTGATCCACCCGCTGGATATACAAAAGGCGGCACATGCTGCTGGGCTGGCCGCGGACGATCCGAGATGCAGTTCAACTTCATTCGCGCCGGTGTTTCCGGCTATAAACATCAACCGCTACGAGCGAGGCACCATCACCCAGATTGATATCACAGTCCTAGCGCCCGACACGACTCTGGATGACATTGAGTCTGCTCGCAAACGTCGCAGCTTCAAGCGACATAAATCTAAAGATGGCCGAACCGAGCAATATCCTGACGCAGGCCTCGCCGCCGATGAATCCGACTCAGGCCCTGGAAAGCGCTCCGCCCCGCATTCCGTCCGGGAATTCATTGAAAACTATGCTTTTCAGGCAGTCTGCAACGCATTTACTATCAAATCTAAAGGCGGCCACAATTCCCAGCAACCAAAGATCCAACTACACCACTCTGAGCGAACGCGACACTATTCCCAGACCTATATTCTCCTGGTTGCCCATACGTCAACCGGGTTCCGACTGGGACGAGATGCGTTGTTTGGAGTCTCCAACACGTCTGAATCAAAGATAAAGCCCGGCAACAAACCCAAAGGGCAAGGGAAAGGGCAGGGGCGATCTCACGCAAAATCAAGAGTCAATACGGGCGCCGACATGGAACGGGCTATCGAGGGCATGGTCAACAGGTGCGTTGAAGATTTGATGTATGAACTTGCGGATGGAGATGGGGCACGGGACGTCAAGACAATGCTCGGAGACGACCAGCCAAGCAGGCTCTTGGACTCGTATATGCGTGATCAGATTGTGGTGTTCCAAGCACTGGGAAACCTGGCGGCAGGCGAGGAGAATATGCCGTCGAGCACGCCTCCAGAGCGCGGCCTGAGCTTACACACCCAGACGGCCATGTGGGTTTGTGGGCAGATGCTGGGAGTTGAGTTCTAGATGATAGACACAATCAACAATCAATCATTTCTAGACAAAATCTGTTGTTTTACCACGTGATCCCTGCTCACGTCAGCCGCACAGCAAACAAGCTGTCCATCACGAGCATTGGAGCAACCGGCTATCAAGAACGGCCTCTTGAGGGTCACTACAGAGTCGCCCAGGGGGACTGTTGGGAGGCTACAGCACCATGGGGTCTCTCAATGTATACATCTTGACATTCAACTGTGCCCGCAATCTTATTGACACCAACCGATTCGCATCCCACTTGTTCGATGGCTTACACCCTGGCGCTCCGCAAACGGCCGCCCATCTACCGGACCTTCTAGTGCTTGCGCTGCAGGAGGTTGCACCGATTGCTTACGCGTTTCTGGGTGGATCGTATCTCGACCGGTACTACGATGCCTTTCGGGACGCGTTGGATATAGCGACAGCCGGCGCTGCTGGAGACGGGGCTGGAGGGCACGTCCATTACCGGAACCTGGTAACGAAAAATATTGGGATGACAGCGTTGATGGTGTTTGCGAGAAGCGACGTGGTCGAACGAATACGCTACATCCAAACCGCGGAGACGGGAGTAGGGGTGCACGAGGCGGGAAATAAAGGTGCTGTCGGGGCGCGGATTGGGTGTCTGGCTGGGCGCGAGGATGACTCTAGCGACGCCGGCCATGATGGCACAGTGGAGGTGACCGTTGTCAGCGCGCATCTCGCTCCTGATGAGACTGGCTGGCAGCGAAGGAACCAAGACTGGAAGAGCATTGCGCAGCGACTTGTCTTTCGATCAGAGGGCACTGAACACCCTCTTCATCAAGAAGACGAAGAAGGCATGCCACTTTTGCGGTCGTCTGCGTCGTTGAACGAGCCGTCGGCCTTGTACTCGCCAAACTCGTACTTGTTCGTTGCGGGTGATTTCAATTATCGCACCGCAGACGCCAGGCCTGCGCCGCAGGATTACAGGACGTTTCCTCGACCGTTGGAGAACGAGGATCCGATGAGCCAATTTACAGATTTGTTCGCGCTGGATCAGTTGAATCGCGAACGCGAGGCAGGCAGGGTTTTCAATAGGCTCATGGAGCCCAAAGTTATGTTCCCGCCGACATACAAGTATTCCAATGATGCCCGCAGCCTCGCGTCCGTCGACCCGAACGGTGGCTGGAAGTGGGCGAAAACCCGTTGGCCCAGCTGGTGCGATCGAATACTTTACCTCGACCATCCCTCTAAAACAAATGAATCCGGGATCGTCAAGATTCACAGGTATGACATACTGCCCTTGTGTTCAACGTCGGACCACCGCCCAGTGGTCTTGTCTGCCTCGGTTCCTCTCCAAGCACTCCCTGAATCCAGCGACTACCGACCTCCCTTCGAGGTCGATCCCCATTGGGAAGACAAGCGAGCAGTCGCTAGGAGAAAAGAGCTGGTTGTTGGTGCTGTGGCCTACCTCGGTTTGACCTGGGAAGGGAACGGTATTGTGGTGGCGACCGTTTTTGGACTCGCAGCTGCGTATTATGGTTTACATGCCCTGCTCGCAGGTTGAAACCCCCGTTCAGAAACCGGCTCAAATTGATGACACGTCGACGCGTGTTTTCAGGGAAAGCACATCGAGTCCATTGTTTTTCCTTTCGGGCAGCCTCATATCCATGGTTTTCAAAGGGATGTCTTGTCTGCCGCATCCATACACCCTTGCAACCCAGTTTGCGAAGATGATCACTTGGACTCCAAAAGGAAATAGGCAGGGTTGTCGTTTCAAGTGTCAACCCCCCAACGGATTACGTGCATATTTGGCATGTCCGAGTGCTGTCACTGTCTGATCACCACATGGCCAAAGAGGGCTTGAAACAAGAGAAAAACACCACGGAAGCGTCTGGCAGGGATTTCCGCTCCGCCTCTCAACCTGACACACAAATGGACATTAAATTGTCGGTTGATCGGTCGAGGGACACGCTCTTGATTTCAGTATTTACACTTTTGCAATTTGCTTCAGCATAACGATGGCAATCCATCGCTTCACAGTGATTGTCAAACTGGAAATCTCCGGGGCCTTGTTTGAGAAGGGGCATCACGGGCTTTTTGACAGGGTTGTCACTGACTCATCTTCTGGCCTGATCCTTTCATAATAATCTTCAAACGCTGCCGAATTTCAAGGCAGAGGAAGTTGTTGTAGCCAATGAACAATTGGCGATAGATCACTATCTTGACAGCCAGTTCACCTGCACATGAAGTCGAGAGCTAACCGGTGAAGCTGGCATCAAGCATGCTCGTCATGAAACAAGCACTCTGGAAGATAGGCGGGAGAAATTAAGACATTCAAAGACCATCAAACCTACCACCGTAGCCTCGTCGCTCTGAAAGAAGCTTTGTCTTTTTATCCTTTTCTTTTTTTTTTCTGGGCTCCCTCCGTCCTTCCCGCGCGGTTGTCCCGTAGTTTTTGACCAGTCCGCGACAGGAAGATCAGCGCACGTTGTTTCATTTCTTCAAGGAGAGAAAGAGGTTAATAAAAATCTCAGGGCTTTGGAGTGAAAAAGATCAGCATGCATCATAGCTCGATTCTGCAGCTCGTCTGTTCGCCTTGCAAAATCCGTGCATGGCACCGAGGCGGCGGTTTTGACGTTTGATGTCGGGCATTGAAGTTGTTGTTAGCTTTGCATGCAAATGTATATATGCGGCCTGGGGGCTGACCCCCCTGGTTGAGGATGCAGATATCATTCAGTGGAAACAGGGCGATCGCTTGTTTTTTTCTTTTGATTTTGTTCTCCATATTTTGTCTGTTATGTTTTTTTTTCTTCTCACAAGGCGTTTGATGGTCTAGCCAAAGGTGGCAAATTGGATGGACTTGTTGATACAGATACCTCTTCTTTGTATTATTTGCATTAAAATTTTATCGCTGACTATTGAATTTGGGCTAAGTTCCAATGTTCCATTGTTGGATGTCCTGCAGTGACAGCTTCTGCCTTCAATATAAATCTTCTGTCTGGGGCTGACGGAGATGCAAGCCGAGCGCCTGATTTCAAAAAACAAAGCAAACGCAAAAAAAAAGTGCAGAAAACGGGCTTGTCGAAATATCTTCTCCCTTTTCTTGATAGGCAACGGTCGCCTTGTCTAGGATAGCCGGGCTGGGCGCCCTTGTTCTTTGCGCAAGGGAGACGATCTGGTGAGTCAGGTGTTGCACGGAAGGGTTGGGAATTGAGTTTTCTGCTGGAGATTCTAGACTGTGCTTCTCGAACTTGGTCGGATGAAGGGGGGAAAAGCAAATCTGGAGAGTGGAATATTCTAGACTCTTTTGATACGAAGTCGGTGAAATTGGGCGGTGGGATCGTGTTTGATGATTCATGGCGATGGGATGATGATTTGGAGATGGAGCTTCCAAGTGTCGCGGGCTCGGCGGGATGGAAAGTGTGGTTGCAGGAACACAGTACATACAGCAAGTCATCCGCTGTCACCGCCTGGGATTCATCATTCCGGTGCGGTGAATTGGGGGATGTTTCTCAGCGTGCGTGTGGCGGGAGTCAAGGCAAGGGAGATCTCAAAAGGTTGCAGCAGCGTTTGATTCTGAGGCGACGGGCCTGGACTGGTTGCCGATGGATCCGAACAAAGCGCAGTGTGTTTCAAGTCGCAGTCAAGGACTCAGCCCTTCCTAGCAGCCTTTTCTTTTTTGTTTTTTTCCCTGACTATCGAACCGGAGTGCTGGGCCCAGCAAGGCAACGGATAAATAGTAGTTAGTGGTTACAGGCTGCAATTCTTAACTTGCTATCAAATTGATGGCGAGTCACGACGCGAGTGAAACCGAGAGAAGTACGCAAGGGGCTGCTGTTCAGCAAATCCAGCATCTTTGTCAGGGAATCCGATATTAACCAAGACCAGTCAATCAATTTCACTCTGCAGACAATGAAGATGTAACAAACAACATCGTCCGCCGGGGCCAAGCTGAGCAGCGTGCTCACCGCTCAAGGACTGATTTGTCCACATCCCCATCTTGAACAGCAGACTTCCCCAATGGACGCTGCACGCCGGACGGGCAACCAGGCGATGAGGCAATTGGGAACTGCCGCCTGCGATGTGCGTCGAAGCCAAGGCGTTTTTACTTTTTCTTCTTCCTTTTTTTCCTTTTCTTTTTTCCTGGCTTTCGAGAAACAAGAAGGGCGTCATCTTGTTTATAAGGCAGGGTAACTACTAATATCGATGATGCTGATGAAAATGGGCGAGATCGGGCTGGGACGTCCGGACACCACGGCTATGTTTAGAGTAGTTGAACTAGTTCTAACGGCATTATGCAAGTCCCAGGAATAATTGGGGGACAATCGATGGGCAGCAAGGATGATTCTCGGAGTGGCTTTTCCCTTTCTTTTCTTTTGCCTGGACTAAATAATGACAAACGTGCATATGTACAGAGTATAATCATGGCCGGTTTTTTTTAATATACTTTATTTTTGCTTCGCATCATACCCAACATTTTGCCAACAGCAAACAGCGCCGGGATCTTGGTTCTCGCGGCCCTCCTTGGGTGCCCAGTTGAGGCCTGGTGCCCTGTTTAACGGACACCCCCCAGGCCGGATGTTTGTTGCAGACTAGGGTGTGAAGGGTAAGACGAGAGGGAGGGCCGAAAAGTCAAAATGCCCAAAAAAGAAATGAAAAAAAGAGAGAGAGAGAGAGAGAGAGAGAGAGAGAGAGAGAGATGATGCAGAATGCAGGTTCAATATCCAGAAGCCTGAAGGAGAAGATAAAAGGATAAAAAGCAAAAAAAAAAGGCAAACTCGAGGGCCCTGTCAGGCGTGAAAGGCCGCCCAGGAAGTATATAAAATCAACCAGAATAATATTACGCCCAGGCCTGAATCCACCGCTCCCTGACACCGACTCGATCTGACAGAAAACAAAGACAAAAAAGACCGCTTGAATCGCTAGTTGGTTTTCCTTTTAAGTTTGATTTCCTCTCCTCGGAGTCCGAAATATAACTCTGGGGTTTCGCCATTTCTCCCTTTGGTTCCCCTTTTTCCCTCTCCTTCATATCATCCTCCATATTACGGCTCGCAGAACATCTACACCCAATCTAATCCTGCAATCCTCCGTCTCGCTTCTCCAGAACCGTCGCTGCCTGGTCCCCGAATTGAGATATCTCTTGCGATCCAACATACGCCGCGCGCTGCATTCCTCTCTCTCTCTCTCTCCTCGACCGATTCACCACGGATAGATAAATAGCTAGAACCAAAAGGGACAGAATCCCGCGTTGCTGCCGTCCCAGCAGGCCTAAAATCTCCCGCGCGCAGAGCAAAAAAATAAAAACAGAATGTTCTCGTGCGCAAACTACCCCCGCGGATGCCGCGGCCGTGTCAATATCCAAGGAGCAAAATGTTCCACCTGCGTGGTGAGTAATACTGGCATCCATTCTTCCAGTGTCACCCTGGGGTAATGGCGCCCTTTTGCCAGCTAGTTAACTAATCAAATCTCCCCCTCCTTGCAGGCCTCCAACCTGCGGCGCCCAGCAGCATCATCCTCACCGTTCTCTTCTGCGCTCCGCTCGCAAAAGACCTTTAAGAGATCATGGGATGTCCGGGACCAGCAAGGCCAATAATCAGGCTGCAGACTGGGCTCCATATGGGGACAAGTGAAATGAAACGAATTAAGGAAGAAGAAGAAGAAAAACACACGAGTCTTGCCCTTCTACTTTCTCGGACTGGAATCCGCCCGTTTTTTATACCAACGCCAACAACTTTTTTTCAACAAACCCCGTTCATAAAAAAAAAAAGGAAAAGCAAAACAACGCAAAAGTAGATCCAAAAAAGTGAACAAATCGCTGGAACCCCGAAAAATCAAAGTACTCGTTTAACGGTTTTTTTTCGGCAACGGGGGGAACGTATAGACCGGCTTTGAACTTTTGCGCGAATCCCTTCCATCATGGCTTTTCTTCTTGGTCCCGCTGGCACAGGGGCTATACCTCTTCCCTTGTTTTCTATTTTATTTGCTACTTTTTTTTGACCCAATACCCATCTTGTTCGGCCTTTTTGGAGGATCTTGTTTAGTCTTATCACCATTTCCTTTTTCTGTTTTGCATTTGGAGGACATTTGATATCATTTTTTTAGCCTAAGAAATATCCCCAAGGAAACAAACGGCGTTCTCTGACTTATTTTTCCTTTTTTCTTCTTCTTCGCGCAGATCACTCCCCCTTCCCCCGCGCGAAAACTGGCTGCATCTGGGTAACTACCGAACCGGGTTCTCCAATTCGTTCGTTCAGAGGTGACAACAGGATAAAATGGGCAACTTTCCTCTCGGCACGAAGACGAGGTTCGGTTGGCTGGCTGCTTCGCGCACACTCTGAGTGTCAGTCACACAATAGCAATGCCCGTCTCTTTCTAATTTTCTTTTCCTTGCTACATTGGCCAATGAAAAGGTGTGGAAGAGTGAATTGCCAGCAGCTCTCGGTTTCTCGCTGGGGATGTTGTGATGAGGTGATCAGCAGGCACATAGAGACTAGCTAATGGGGTTTGTTCTTGTCGTTTGTTTACTTTTTATATCTCCAGTTACACTACAATGATGGCTTTTTGCAGATAGACTTGTTTCCTGTTCACTTCTCTTGGTCCTGGCGGCCGCCTCTTGCTCTTCTTTCTATTGTCTTTGTTCTGACAGGGATACGGGACTTTTTTTCCCTCGGTGCATCCACGTGGCTGGGAGGCTTTCTGTCGCTCGCTCTTGTTTTGCTCTTGTGCGTCTTATTTATTAGCGTTTTGGATTAATGGAAATCTGTCTGACCGACATTCGTGTGCAGCCTCTGTAGCAGTGGACGGGGGAATATGCAGACACTCATCACACTTCCCATATAAACCCCCCGGCTCCTAGTCGAATCTGCCCAGGTCATCTGATGCGCTGCATTGCATATCCAGGCCCGGCGCACATGCATGGCCTCCCTGGCCTGCTGGCTGCCCGCCGCTCTCTCGCAACGGCTCTGCACGGGTGTGTTCATGTTGCTGCTGCGGCTGTTGACCATGGCTCCATGACATCACGGCGGCGACCCCACCATCGCGCTGTGGGTTTCAGGATGCGCCCCACCGGCTGGTCCTGCGCAACACGAGCAGTTGGGCAGCCAGATTTATAAGATTGGGGGTGATGGGCTGGCAATTGGCATGGTTCTCTGTCGCTGGGCTCCAGGCAAAGGGGCAGTCGGCGGACGGCCAAGGACATGTGCTCCTCTCCTTTCCCCCGTGATTCGTTGGTGTCTGGCATCGCATGAAACAGCGCTTGTGAAATTGGCTCCAGAGGTTGGATCCTCTTCTGTCCGGCACTTGGCAGATCCGAGGGCTCAAAAAGGGGGCCAAGCAACAGGAAAAACGCGTGCCGGCAAGGATTCTTTGATGTATGATTACGTCGAAGGCGCTGTTGGGCTGTGGCGGAATTACTCTAAAACGAAGCATCATGCGGCCGCCTGGCCTGGTGGCCGTGATGTCGCTATTGTTGACGGCTGTCGGACAATAATGATCACAAATGACGGCTGTCAAACAGTCAAGGGTTATTCCCTGATTCTCGCCGTGCGACTCGGGCAGTCTGCGATGGATTATGAAACGAAGGGACCACACCCGAGGGCCCTGGCTGTTTTTCTTTTGTGGGTGTTGTGATATTGTCAATACGATGGAGTTCTGTCATCGACGCCTGGATTCGGGAATCTGTGTTTACTGGACTGCCCACAGTGACGAGGGCCTGGCACAGGAATGCGGAATAATACGCACTGCCCAATTGCGCTGAAGCCAGCCAGACCGCCATCGAAAATCTCACCGTGCGAGAACCCTTGAAATCAGTCAGATGGCGGAAACCGGGTAAAAAGGCTCGTGCCTCCCTCCCTCCCTTCCGCTTCCTTGACCTTTTGCTCGCTTTTCCAGGCATCGCCCACGTGAGAGGTCTTGATATAGACTTCAGGGCTACTGATGGCGCTGTGGACCTTGTGCCAGTAGCGATGAGCAAGGATGGAGGATTCTCATTGCAGAAAAAAGACAACTCGAGACTTGTTTCAGATAGGAGATCGATCAGATGCCAAAGAATGCTGGATAAATGACACGCAGGTAGATTCAGAGGCTTGAAACCCGCGTTGCAAAGGCCTGGCGACAAATCTCTTGCAGCAGCGGAGGGCAAAACATGCGCTGCACGCAGGAACGTCTCATCGCTGGGAAGAATGTCAGAGGCACTCCTACGAACAGAAACTGCTACAGGACTCATTCCATGCTGATTTACGTCTCTTCTATCTGCGCTCGTGGGCTTGGAGCTTCGTTGTGGCCCCGGGCAGCCTGGACGCAGTCAATGACTCGATCTTGCCTGCTCTTTCGTTGCCATCAAATGGCCTTCTCTTTCCCTTGCTCTCGAGGTAGGACCTGCCTCGAGACTCATGTTGTTTGTTTGCTGCCGTCGGCTTTGGTTTTCAGCGGGTGCAACTTGGCTGCATGCTATTCTATAGCATGCCCATTTGTCCTTTTGCTCGTCCATCAGGCATCACGTATATTAGATTTACACCGGCTACAGTCAATAGGATTTACCCATTACTTTGGAACATTTCTTTGCCAAAATGCTCTCAAGAGGCTCCAGCACCAAGTTGAGAAGAAGCAAGTCCGCCGTTTCAGCCAGGTCTCGAGGCCGGGGCCGTTCCCTTGCCGAAGTCATCGACGACGAAGCCTGCCAGCGACAGGCTTTGACCGCCGCATCCCTGGCGATGCAGCGGGCTATGAGGCCTTCGCTGGATGATTGTCATGGCAGTGAAACCGGCACCCACCGCGCTTCCCTTCAACTCTCTCGATCCCGGAGCATTCGGTTTAACGAGGACGACACCCCGGGCTTGAGAAAAGCTGACTTTGCCCGCACGCTACGAGCAACTCGCTCTGTAAGCAACGATGCGGTTCAAAACAAGGCTGCCGACTCGCCGGCCCGGCGCACGAACGGTGTGGACGAGTTTGGCATGCTGGATGACGATATCCCGTCCGTCCCTTCAATACCCTCGTCCTACCGAAAGCTTCGCAAATCAAAGTCCATGTTCTCAACGCGTCTGCGGTCTGGCTGGTCGAACGACACTTGCCAATCCCCGAAACGGAACCGCCATCGTCCTAGAGACGCAGGACACCGGCACTTTGCTCGCAACACCCTTCGTCGCTCGATCTCGTTTTTCAAAGGAGAAAGTGAATATCGATCAAGGAGCCATCAATCCACGGATAACCAAGAAGTGGATAGTAAGGTCATGCGAGATAGATTTCTACAAGACCTAAGCAGGACTTCTCAGTCTGGCACGTCTGAGCTGAGTACTAGTACCCAGAACTGGGAGCCACGGGCCTTTAGAACAACGGCCAGGCGCTACAGTTCTATTTCTAATGACAGCGATTCCGGGTGCTCAGGTCAACCCACCCATGAACGATTGAAGGATGGCAGTCACACTATCAGAACAGGGTCTCTTTCGCAGTCAATCAAGAATCGATTCCGGCGCATCTTTAGACGGCACTCAGCGGCCCAGGAAGACCTGTCTCCCCGGCAGTCAGATAACCACCAGCCTATTGCCCCCGAATCGCAAGTTCACTCCCCATCAAATACCTTGTCTAAACAAGATATTAACACTTTTAATCCATATCTCGGATTTTCTAGCCATCGGCGCAGGAGCATCCGTTCAATGAAAAGCATAGATAGTATATCTACTTCAAATTCACGTGTTACAAGCTGGACTGATTCCACAGCGGCTAACACTATCAATATGAAACGCCCACTAGAAAGTCGATTATCCATTATCGAAGAGAACCGCGTTGCTGATATGTCGCAATCCGCAGATGAGTACCATGACGGCTACTCTGCATTCAGACAACCTCTTCAGCTGGATCGCCTGTCCAATAACCCCGTAGACAGTCAGCGGGTATATTCGGCCTTGATGCGGAAAATAGATCGGTCGAGTAGGACGCGTGAGGGCAGGGTTAGTCCACGACCTAACGCCCCGGAAGCCATTCGTTATAAAAATCAGCTACCGGCCCATTCAGGATGCAGTATAAGACGGGTGCTAAGCGGCACGTCAATGCACCATGCTGAAGCTGTTGCCGTGCGAGGGCCTGCCGGTGGCATCAACCATGGCCCAGCCCAGTCAATTCGAACCGCAGCTTCTCCCGGCCTCACACCCCAAGAGATTGCCAAACGTAACGAAAGCGTTCATCAGCTTTCCCAACGCTCTTTACGTTGCCTCGATTCCAGTTCATCGCGCTCGGTAGCTCACAGGCATCCAGCACGCTTCGAAGTTGATGCGATGGCTACGCCGACGAGGGCTCAGATGTATGAGTCTGATGACGATTCATCTACTGTCGTGGTCTTGAAATCACCCGTTTCCAGCAAGTTTGTTACATCACCTAGCGTCTATTCAAGAACGACGAGCGGAAATACGCCATGTCGTTATGCGAGCCGCAATGACCTGACCTTTTCCGACTCTGACGATGATACAGGGACTGCGACCATCATAGCAAGCCAGAGACTCCCGTGCAAGTCTCGTGGCCAAGGTCGACTGGTCAGGGGAAGTGCAGAGTGGAAGTCTTGGATGAAATCCCAGATGGACCTTATAGACCGGTCTAACCTTTCTAAAACCCTTGATATCCAGTTCTCCAACGAAGAAAAAACTCACTACAGAGAAAATGCTCAAATCTACGACGAAGCGTCCGACAGTACGGGTGCTAGCCCCTCCCTGAGAGAGAGCGGCGATCATGAAGAGAACCACAAAGTCACAGGCGAAGAGCAAGACTTTAGCGAACGGCAGCCTCTATCGGAACTGCGACCCCCCTCCCAAAACAACTTCTCGCGCCCTATGCGTCGTTCGCCCAGTGGACCCATGAAATTTGGCACAACAAACGCGAGAAAACCGTCCCTAGTCGAGGAGATCCACACCCCTCCGCGAAGTGCACCGGTCATTGTCGAGTCAGATACTCCTTTGAAGCCTTCCCCTCGCTCCGTTGGTGCCAGGAGCAGGTCCGGAGCCCCAAATCAAACCCCACTGGTATATCATAAAACTCGACTATCTGGCTCACTCGGGTCTCCGGCCATATCCCCTAGGAACAGTATGAGCCCACGGAAGTCGATGTCTGCGAGAAGCCGGCATCGACAAATTCCTCCACCAGCTTACTGCGACGCCAGGAAGGCCTTGAGCGTCCAGTTCAACTCGGTACGCCCAAGAAAAGACGACTGTCAAATGACAAAGGAGAATCGGGAGATAGGCGAGGATTGTTTCTTTAGCACAAACGGGCCCTCAGACGGGTTCTCCAGATTGAACGGGCTGCACTCTACCATTAGCAGTAAGCGAATGGTTGATCTATTTTTAAGTGATAGAAGGCGGCTCATGGAGAACGGTGATGATACCACGGCCGAATCAGCATTTCTCTAAGCTCGTGGACAATTGCTGTGCACTCTGCTGCTGATACTGGCGCTGGCGGTGCTTGATTTGTTCATCAGGTCTGCGGAAATTGGAACATACAATGTAGATATTCGTACGCCAGCTATCAATAACTATACACCGTCTTATATATAATATAAATATTTATTAGTTTGTAAGCGTTCGGAGAAAGCAAGGGTAAGGATTCATATGCACCTTGCCCGCCTCAGATCCAGCTAGTTAGCTCGTTGGCATTTCCCATTTGCCAACATCCATTTCAAGAAGCACATGGACTCCTTGGAATCCGCTATTGAAAATGCAAATACTCTCCCCGATTGACAGACTTTTTATTCCCATCCTCGCCTCGTCCAGCTGCTCTTTGTCCACAGCCCGCCGGAATATGTATTCGCCGAGCCTGCCCCTCTTGCTCGAGTCATCGATAATCCTCGCCTCCGGATAGACTTTGATATCGACATTTGACAGCCAAGCAGAGAGCCACAACAATGTCTGCACCTGTGACGAAAAAGCGATGCGGTAAGCCACTCTGCACCCCCGTCAATCCCGAGGCCATTACTGATATTCCCTTCTAGGCGTCCTCGGGGCCACCGGCGCCGTGGGGACACGCTTCATCCTCCTACTCGCGCACCACCCGCTACTAGAACTCGTCGCGCTCGGGGCGTCAGACCGGTCCGCGAACAAAAAGTACCGCGACGCGGTGCGCTGGAAGCAATCGACGCCGATGCCGGCCGGGGTGGGCGAGATGGTAGTGCGGCGGTGCGAGCCGTCCGAGTTTAGCGACTGCGAGATCATCTTCTCCGGGCTGGACCCCGAGGTGGCGGGCGGGATTGAGACTGCTTTTTTCCAGGCGAACTTTGCGGTGTTTTCGAATGCGAAGAATCATCGGCTGGTTCCGGTGGTGCCGCTGGTGGTGCCGCTGGTGAATGCGGGGCATCTGGAGGTGATTCCGGCGCAGCGGAAGAGGCACGGGCTGGAGAGGGGGATGATTGTGTGTAATTCGAACTGTGCGGTTGTGGGGCTGGTGATTCCGGCGAAGGCGTTGATTCAGAGGTTTGGGCCGATTGAGTCGGTGAGCATGGTCACGATGCAAGCTGTCTCGGGGGCGGGGTATCCGGGGGTCAGCAGTAAGTGCTTGCATTCTTCTCAAGGGGTGTATTTTCATGTGTGTGTGGATCGCAGCTGATTAGTTATGGTGGTGCCAGGCATGGACATCTTCGATAACATCGTCCCTTATATCCCCGGCGAGGAGGGCAAGATCTCTACCGAAGCGCGCAAGATCCTCGGCGATTTGGACTCCGACCTGGCGGGATTCAGCGATAAAAAGCCCCTTCAGATCTCTGTTGCGTGCAACCGTGTTCCCGTGCTCGACGGCCATACCGTGTGTGCGTCGTTGCGTTTTGTAAAACGACCCCCTCCGACCGCCGCCCAAGTTCGTGAAGCGCTGAGGGAGTATACTTCAGAGGTTCAAACGCTCGGGTGTCCTTCTGCTCCGAAACGCGCCATTCATGTGCTGGACGAGGTGGATCGACCGCAGCCTCGCCTTGATAGAGACTCCGAAGGCGGCTATGCGTGCAGCGTAGGGAGGATCAGGGAGGATGATAGTGGGGTCTTTGACATCCAGTTTGTTGCTCTCAGCCACAATACCATCCTGGGGGCAGCGGGTAGTAGTATTTTGAATGTGAGTTGCATGCCCCTATCTAATGATACCTTGAGTTGATGCTGACATGACTGTGTGCTGCTTGTAGGCGGAGAGTGCGATTCTAAAGGGTTATATCTAGTCTGAGAACTGAGTGCAGCTTTGATTTGATAAAAAGCGTATTTTCAACATCGCTTTTGTTCTTGGCTCTTCCAGGGATGATATTTCTGCGGAACCACATCCATATATGCTACGGGGATGGCTAATCGTCCTACAAGTTGATCACTGGGAATTTACGCGACTCAGCCATTTTGCGCTGAGGAAAACATGAACAAGAGTTGGTGATGGAGTTGAAGCTGATATAGTAGCGTAAGAGACAAGAATAGGTTAGAATATTGATTGAAAGCGTTGCTACTGATGGTTCACTTTGGTATAATCCCATCACTTCCTTGCCTCAAGCTTAGATGTGCCTTTATTTAAGCATCCACCGGGCCTATTCAGGCCTTCCTTTTACATCCTCCCTTTGGTGAAGCGTCCAATGACACGTCAAGACATCCAGAGCGCCCTCTTCCCTCGAAGCCTCTCCGATCGCGGCGCATCCTCCATATGCAATGCAGGGCTGCATCGCCTCGTCGGGCTTGAGCTATTGGCTGCCCCGCGAGATGTATCCTGAGGATCGAGAGGCGCATACCTTCGGCAGGCTGCCTTGAACATTCAACCTCCACGACTGGGGCTGTCAATTCCCGTGTGATAACATGGCAATCTAGCTAGCGGACGAGTGCCCCTAATAGCTACGACTGCGACCTTCTTAGGAGCCATTAATCCCATTCTTTACTTGCCGTGGCTTCTATCCAAGTTGACCAACCATGACTTTTATGGGCTCGATGAAGAACTCCCTCCTCTCCAGAACGACTGAAAACAATATATCATTGGCAATTCTAAAATTCGATTTCTCCCTCTTCAAAGTCGAGGCTCCTGTCGAATTCGAACCCCTGGGCTCGGCCCTGTCGTGTAGACGACGAGACGAAGCCGAAAACGGACCCCAGCATCAAACAGCTCGACGGCTGGCTGCCCTGTTCGAGCAACTTATTCCTTCTACGCCGAAGCTCATTTAAGCATACTGCAGAAGGGTGTCTGAAATCATCAAAACACCAGGCGTTAACCCTGTCGGAACGAAACGCCAGGGGCCGTTCAAAGGATACATTGACGAGGATGGAATAGCGGCGTGGGTAGCGGCCACGTCAGGCATAACTGCTTTGGGCGTATATCTCCTCGCCTGCTTCCTTACACGGGCATGGGCTGCAAAGGAACCAGTGAGACATTGAGGTTTTATTCGAGGACAATCACCCAGTCTCGGGGGCGAGCCTTGTTAGTGCTCGCCTCGAGGTCTCGCGACATGGCCTTGCGGTCTGGGACTCAAGCGCGCGGGCCTGGCCCCAAAGTACCGATCAGGCGAAGCGGCTAGAGCAGGACCAGCTGCTCTTGCTGCCTTGATGGCCCAGCCAGCACGAGCCTGAATCACACCAATATAACTGGATGAACAGTGTTTTCAACCAGAGTGTAAGAATCAAACATAAATATCCTGTGAGCCACAAGGAAAAAACATACATTCGCCCCATATTCATCCGTCCTATTCCACCATGGCTAAGAAGAGCCAACCCAGCCGCCCACACCTCCGGACCTGCCACCGCTACCGATTAATGCAACGAAGAAGGCGTACTATAATGCTGGCGAGCGTGTATACTATGTGCCTCGGGGTGGTGTGTGACTTTGGAACCCATAATCTATGCTGTGATTGATATTGACGTCTATGCAGCAAGTGAATGGCGCACTGGAGTAATCAGTACCAAAAACTCAAGCACCATCATATCCATTGTACGTCGCATAAACGAGTGTGTTTGCTACTCGTTAGGCTAAAATTTGTACTAGGTCATTGACGACGTACCCGGAAACGAGGAGGATGTTCGCACGGAATATATTCGAAAGCTAGCGTAACCAGGGTAGATGTCGTTGACCCTGCGGCGGCGTGGCTACTTGTCCGATATTGACGCTCTATAACTCTTCAGCACGCTCCATAAGACTCCGATCGATCCATTTCCACAAGGTGTGGTCGGCTAAGAAGGGAGCGGTTTCGGCTCTCAGTCGCTGCGAACAACTATATCGCGAATGCCATTGCGATACCAATGTCAATTTCCTTGCAACCGTCAAGTCTATTTCAGACCTAGAGTCAATATACTTTCTCTCAGAAACATCTACTGAATCGTCGTCGTCTTCCTTCAAATGGTTATATAACCGTACATAACGGTCGGAATGCTGCCTCAGTTTGAACTCTGCAAGCACGTCACCGCGACCATTGTTGCGTAGAGGTCCTTTAATAAGGGGTAGTCAGTAGTGGTGTCAAAACTAAGAAGACGGGTCAATAGCCACATAGGCCGGCTTTTCTGTAGGATACGGCATAGAACGGCCGATTCCTTGGAATCGACCTCAGAGGCGGCTTGCTGGAATCCTTGTTGGAATTCTTGTAGAAGCGGTTGAGGTAGCTCATTCCGCGACTGAGGGAGGCCCGGGGAATCTCCATTGCATATATTGAAGAGGTTCTGAAAGCTTCTAAGATCTTTCTTAATGCTGAGTTTTGAAGCTTTTCAAATTTTTCAAGTAAGAATTTTTGATTATTCCATCAGATAGGAACTCCATAGTCAGCTACTGAAGTAATACAAGCAATATATAATTGTCTCATTGCTTGGAAGATGAGGCTCTTTTTAATATTAGAGAGTCTTATTATTTTATTTAAGACTCTCTTAGCTGTTGCTATTTTGACTTTCACATGTTGTTTAAAAGTGAGTTTTGAATCAAACCAAATGCCCAATCATCTGACTACAGATTTTGATTTAAGTTCCATATCATTCAGAATGATAGAATTACTCTCATTATGCTTTACAAAATGAATAAGCTCAGTCTTATCTATGTTAAACTGAATGACTTAAGAATCTTGTCTTTTGAGCATAATATCAATTGCTTTTTTGAGAAGTAGACAATTTTCCTCAATTGAGAAAGAGGAAATAATTAAATCAGTATCATTAATATAACTAGAAATTCTCACATTCTGCAAATTCTCATGATTATTTTTAAAAAGATATTTTGTATATAAATCATAGAGAACAGAAGAGAGAGAAGAGTCTTGTAGAACTTTAATATTAATAGATAATAATTCTTGCTGTTTGTTGTAATTGTAAGAATGTCACTAGTGAAGAGCAGCTATCTAGCTGCCATGCAGCAGATAATATCTATGACAGCATCATGACAAAGTGTTGCCACCCCAAAGATATAAGCAGGGGACTGCCTTGCCCACTAGAAATGAAACAAGTGATTTGGTTACTATTCATTTACTACTAGAATCTACTCTATGTTCTATGTATATTATTATACATGTTTGATTATAGTCAATACCATCTAACTCAATAGCAATAATCTCTATCTAGCTACTAGCTAGTCAATAGTTATCAGTACACTTATAATTCCATTTCAATATTAAAGAGACATCTAGTCTCTGACTGTGATCAAGCTAGTTATTACATTTTCAAATTGCTTTCTTAAGAAACTGAAGAGAGTATATCATCTAATTATTTTATCTGCAAGATCTCAGCAGTGTTATCAAACTTGTTGTTCAACATAACAAATTGAGACTTTAGTGATCAATACTTCAATGGTGCTTGATCTCAAATTGACAGACTTGTTTAATGATAAAGAATTTCCATACAGATATATCAAAATTGAATTAAGACTGTTATATCTTCTTAAAAGTAGTGAGAGCAGATACAATTGTACAGTATTACAGAACTTTAATAATATGAAAAATAATCAAGATATGATAGTATCTGTATAAATAAGTCTATAGAGAGAATTGTAATAGAGATTAATTATGATGAATAAATTCATCTGATCAATAATAAAAAGCATTCTTATATATATAATAAATATTATGAATAGTTTGAGTAGTCACTTCTATTCTTCTGTTTATTAGTTGAAATAATTATAATTATTCTGACTATTCAGCTATCTGTCAGTTGAGATAATTACTACTATTCTGATTATTCAATCATGTGACTTTTATCTTCTCAGATTCTAGTTCTTTCAGTTCATAATTTTTGTAGCCTCATCATACTTCACTTTCCAGTCATATTTTTCATATGCTCTTTCAATAGTGTGTGATAATTTCATATTGTACTATAAGATTTATAATATCATTCTCTTCTTTCTTAACATGTTGTTCTTAACTGCTTATATTCTTTCTTGAATATAAAGAGTGATTATTTTCTTGCTTGATTGTTAAAACATTTTCTTCTTATAAGTAAATGTTTTTATAACTCTGTTGTCATGATTTTAAAGTTTTTTCACAATAATAAGTGTCTAGCTTTCAAAATTAAAGAAATTAATATTATAATATCTTCTCACTACATTTATTATTCTCATCATGATAAAGAGTGTGTTTATTCTGATAAATTAATAATGTTAGAGCCTGGTGTGAAGTGGTAAAGAAGCATCAGACTTGAGAACATGTGATCAGATTTTTCAGATGACTGCTGTTAGTAGAGCAAGAGCTCAGAATAAAAAAATATATATTGCATGATCATCTCAGATCCCTCTTTTCTTCATCATATTTAATATTTTTGAATTAGATCTATCTAGTTGAACAGGTTTATTAGAATCTTTCTTCTTTTATCCTTGCATTTAGTCTGAAGAATGTATCCATAATACTAAAATATTATCTTACTTTACTCTTTTTGAAGTCTTTCAGTTAAAAGATTTTAAGCAGTAATTGATCATGACTTTGAGTGTGTCAGCATCTGCAAAACAATTCAAACTTATTATTATTGAAGAATCAGCTGTTGAATCTTTTCTTGTATCAGTGAATTGATCTAGTCTCAAGCTCACAAGAGAACAAAACAAACTGAATTTCTTTTAAATATTTTAACACTGCTGTGGAACAGAATGCATGAGTGATCTATAATAAAATCAGCAGCACAATTCACAAAACTTGAGTGCACAGCAAATAAATCAGAAGAGAAGCTCAGAATCAGATCAGTACTTTGAAGAAACAAGTGGCTGTTCTGGTGAAGAAATGAGATTAATATAAAAAAGCATGTGTGACTGTATTACTGAACATGCAGAAATGAGAAAGCACTCCTGCTTGTGTAACTGAGTTCAGAGAAAAGTGATTAATTAAGATTAATAATCTCAAGCATCTCACAGATGAAAAGAAACTCAAGTTTGAGTATTGACTTTTCAGAATGAAGAATAAACTATAAGAAAATGCAGATCACTTCCCCACAGAAACTAGCAAGATTATTTATATTGAGAATTAAACTGATGAAAATATCACACATCACATTGCTCTCCACATGTGAGAAGAATATCTGAAATATTATCAAACAGCAGAGAAAGTGTTCAAACACTTGAAGAAAATTTATGAGAATCTGAATAAGCTTCTCAATGTAAAGAATAACTAGTGTTAACTGATTATGAGAAATAATGATGATTATCATGAATTTGTTATTAAGTTTCTGCATTTAATGGAAGAAGCAGAGATATTCAAGAAAAATTACAAGAATAACTTCATAAACAAGCTATCTCATAAAATGCAGAAAGCAGTGACTGCTGTTCATGTCATCATCAGAATCTTTAATAAATTTCAGAAAATCTGCTTGTGCACTGCTCACATTCTGAAGAAGATTCAGACTGTTATTAACTGTCAAAATTCTGCTGAAACAGCTGCTTGCAATAGAGAATAGTAAGTCAAAAGTCTTACATCTAGCTGTGAGAGCACTGTGACTTCAGCTTCTGAGAACAAGAACTGACTGAGATCAATTATGTGCCACAATTGCAAAGATCTTGACCACATGAAGTGCAATTGCTTATATAAAAACAAGATGTCTGTAAAGATTCAGAAGTTGAAACTTAGCAATGAAGATAATCAGCTGAAAAAAGAGCAAGTCTAGAAGAAGTCTTCATTTTGAACAGAAAAGTATTATTAGAGAAGCTAAATTTAAGTAACTTAGTGAGAGAACAGTCATTTCTTATATGAAGCAAATTAGTATTGAATGGAGTTGCAATTCCAACCAATTCTCTTATTAATACTGGAGTGAATGATTTGATTTTCATTGACACATGACTAGTGGTGAATGTGGCTCAAATCTATAATGAAAATACTCATCAATTGCTGGAGGTGTGCAGTATCAGAGACTTTGATAAGAATGCTGAATTATTCATCACACATCTTGTCTTCTTTCATCTGTGATTGAATGACTGTTAATTTGAAAATGTCTCTATGCTGATTGTTAATTTGAGACAACATCTCTTGATTATTAAATAAAAATGACTGGCAGATCACAATGTCTGCTTTAGACTGGATTGTGAGACTGGTTTTGAGATTCCAAATCTCATGAGCATTGATTCTGATTTCAAAATCTGATTGAGAATTTATTCTGAAACTGGCCATCTTGCTCTCATATCTCATTCTGATGAGAAATGGAACATGAGATCTCATTCTGCACTCAAGTAATTCCTGACTGACACCATTCCAGTATGAGATTCACATCTCAAGAACCTTCCCATCCCACAGTAGATGGCACTGGTTCTGGTACTGAACAACTCAAGATGAGACTGAAATGGAACATGGGTTTCTGATCTCATGTTTTATTATATATAGCAAGAAGCTCAAATTGCTTCTAAGATGCTAGAATCATTATCAAAATTTGTTACTTTTTCTACAGTGTGTATCACAATCAATGGAAAACTCAATATCCTTGAAAATGATTCATATTAATAAATAATGTTGAGACTATTAGCCAGCTCAAGCCAGCTCAATAAATATTCATCTAGTTAGACAAATTAATACTTTTCATTTTACCTTCAGCTCATCTTTTCTTCTCTTCCTTCTTCTTCATCTATTATTATTGTTATTCTCCTATCTTCTTCTCATCTTTGACAGATTCTTGCAGCATCTTTAATGATGTCTTAAAGTTGAACTTCTGCTGCCACACAACAGAGTCAGAAACTCCAGAAGTGATGAAAGTGACAGTGTAAGCAGCAAAAGTAGAGACAGTGAATGCAGCAGAATAAACAGCACAGCAGACAGAAGTGACAGTGGAAGCAGCAGAGCAGAAGTAGTTAACTGTTTTAATTGATTTGAAGAACTGCAACTCAATTATGAAGCTAATCTCCATAATCAGATATATATTTTCAGCATTAACAGTCATGTGCTTCTGATGTGCCATTGCCATAACTGAGTCTTTTCAATTTGCATTACTCATATGAATATCAACTTATACAATTGTTAATACTCACACTTGAACAAAGTAATAATGATTGCCTCTGCAGCCTCTTGAAGATTTTTAATAACAGTATATTGTCAGTGAATATTATAATCTTGATCACAGTTAACAGTAATTTCATAAATCAATTACTGAAACACAGCTGCAGAGATAATAAGATCTGTGAATTTTTGAAGATGTTTAATCTTCTGAATCACATCTAAATAATTCAATTAGCATCAGAACTGTTATCAAAATTCATTACTTTTTCACATATGAGTACCAGCTTTCAACTAACATTGAGAAGATTGAGAGTGGAAGGTTTTCTTTTTGAAGACTGTTAGATCAGTCTTTAAGTTTGTCTTATATCAAGTTGTCTTGGTGGCTTCTCACTCTTTTAATGCAGTCTTATGCTGCAACTCACCACTGGTTTTGTACTGGTCAGCACAGAAAAACTCAATGTGACTCATTGTTGCAGCAGCAGAAAAATAAATGAGACAGAGTGAATGAGAGCATTGAGACAGTTTGTGGGGAGGTCAACAAATGACAAATGAAATTGATAATGATTAGTCTACAGAAAAGAAAGAAGAAGAAGAAGAAGAAAAAGAGAAGATAAAAATACTGATTTTATATCTTCTGTCTGATATCATGATACTGTGACAACTGGTTACAGATTTATAGTAAACAAATTGGCAGCTTGATATCATGTCAAAACAAATATATTGCATTAAAATAAACATACTCTGATATGACAACAGTAGACAGCTTGATATTATGTCAAAATAAACATATTGCATCAAAATAAACATATCTAACATTGCATGACAATGTAGTAAACTGCATAGCAACAGTAGTCAGTATAGAAGCTTGATATTGCATTCAAATATTTCAGACATTCTCATCTCATTCTCATCACAAAGTCAAATGTGTCCTGAATCATCTAACATTACTATCAATGAATGAAATGACTTCATGAGATGAATATTCAATGTGTAAGAAAATCTGTGCTGTGTGAGAGAATAGGCAGGCTCTAGCTGAGCAAGATTGAAATGTTTTTAAAGCTGAAGAGACAGACTGCAAAATGCATCATGATACTCTCTGAAAGCTTCAAGCTAAGAAATCATAATGTGTATCAGACTATCAGCAGCAAACTGACTTATATCATACTGACACAAATTACAGAAAGAATATCAATAAGCAAGAGCATCAGACAATAAAAGATCAGACCATTAAAGAGCTCATGGTCAAATAATTTATCAAGAGTAAGTTCAAGAAATATTACAAGCACTAGATGCTAGTGGTCTGTGAGAAGCAGAAGACTGAAGAGAAGAAGAAGCATAATGAAAAAGTTATGCAGATGCAAGAAGAAATCAAGAATAAGATATATCAAAAAGTAATAAAATTGAATAATGATTCTAACACATTTAGACCAAAATTGAACTTGCAGTACATTCAATTGCTGCATGCATTCAGATCTGTGCTCATGCAATGATAACTGTTCTTGAAGTCAAAATTATAACTTATGAGCACAATCATCTTGCTGCTGCTGGTCTGTCAAAAAATAAAATGAAGAAGAAGATGAAAATATTTCAAAGTCATTTGCAGACTTCATTAAATAAGAAGATGCTATCACCATCAGAAAAGATGAGTGAGAAGAAGTTTGAGATTGTTATCTCTTTCAATAAAGAGAAGAAGAATGAGAAGAAGAAGAATGACTGAGTTATTAATATCTAAAAGCAAATAGTTTACTTATAATCTAAAGTCATTGTTGAATATTTGCTTTATGAAAGAAGCAATTCATGAATATTACCTTCATGCAAGAAGTCTTCCATAAATATTTCTATCATAAAGAAAGTCATTGCCAGAACATTCTCTCTCTCTTTTATAATATAGATCATAAAACTCTTCATCATATTCTCTCTTAATTTAATATTCTTCAGAATCTTCATCTTCAATAAATCTGTTGCCAACTTGTCATCATGGACCCAGCCTCTCAAGAAAGTATTGTTATAGATAATGATACATCATTTTTTACTGAAGTCTCTTCTAAATTAAGTCAGATGCTAATTGAGAAAGTAGTATATATAAAATAGCAACTGGAGCACACAAAGATCTTTGCTATCTGGTGATCAACAATAAAAACTGCTCAGTTGATTGGAGAAAAGAGAAACTGAAATCTAAATTAAGCTGTCAAAAACTGCCACTCAGATTTCTGAATCAAATATGATCAAGCAGCTGAGCTTTCAAGTGGCACTTCAGTAATGATCTGCAATAATTGTCAGGCAGTTCTCAAACACTCAAGCTTTACTGAAAATGACACAAGTGGATTGAAGAAACACCTGTGTAGTGCAGAGTGTGAAAAGACAGAAGATGAATTTTAAAATTTATAACAGTTGATGATAAGTGGTTATTTCATTTCTTCATATGAAAAAGTAATGAATTTTAGTAATGATTCTGATATTCTAGAAGTCAAATTGAAAATGTTCTTGAAATGTATCATCTATTTCTGAATGCAATCTAGAAAACTTTCAGCAGTAACTTGTGTAAACTGTAATATTTCTGAATCTCTTCTTCTGTGCAATTGAAAACCCAATCTTCAAGACAATGATGTCAATGCTCAATTCTTTGATGGCAAACAACATTTCAACTCACAAGATACTGTATCAGATCATGAACATCATGTATGATAATCTTTTCAAGACACTGCTGGCTGATCTCAATGTGACAATAAAGATGTCTTTGGTAGTGGATAATTGGACAAGTCTCAACAATCTTGCTTTTATGACAATCAATGAATATTATATTACAAAGAACTGGGAGTACTGGGAACATTTGCTAGATTTTGAGAGCTTACATGAAGCTTATATAGAGAAGAACATGATGAAAGTTCTTACAAAATGTCTGACTGCATGAAAGCTAGATCACTAGCTTCTAGCAATTACAAGTGACAATGTGTCCAATAACAATACAATGTGATTGAAGCTGAAGGAACAACTGCAGCCATGTTATCAAACTTGTTGTTCAACATAACAAATTGGAGCTTTAGTAATCAATACTCCAATGATGCTTAATCTCAAGTTGGCAGACTTGTTCAATAACAAAGAGTTTTCATACAGATGTGTCAGAGTTGAGTCAAGATCATCATGCCTTCTCAAGAGTAGCAGAAGCAGATACAATCATACAATATTACAGAACTTTAATAATATGAAAAGTAATCAAGATATGATAGTATCTGTATAAATAAATCTATAGAGAGATAGTAAGAGAAGAAGATTGATCACAATGAACAAATTCATCTGATCAACAGTAAAGAGTATTCTTATATACATGATGAATATTATGGATAGTTCAAGTAGTTCCTCCTATTCTTCTATCCACTAGTTGAAATAGTCATAACTATCCTGACTATTCAGCTATTCATCAGTTGTGATAGTCACTACTATTCTGACTATTCAGTCACATGACTTTCATCTTCTCAGATCCTAGTTATTCCAGTTCATAACTCTCATAGTCTCACCATGCTCCACTTCCCAGTCACATTCTCCATACACTCTTCCAATGATGTGTGATGATTCCATGCTGTGCTGCAAGATTTATAACATCATCCCCTTCTTTCTTAGCATGTTGTTCTCAACCACTTACACTCTTTCTTAAGTATAAAGAGTGATTGTCCTCTTGCTTTGTTTTCAAAAAGATTTTCTTTCTGTAAATGAATGTTCTCATGACTCTATCATCATGACTTCAAAGTCTTCTCACAATAACAAGCATCTAGCTTTCAAAATTGAAGAAATTGGTGTCATGATGTCTTCTCACTGCATTTATTATTCTCATCACAATAAAGAGTGTGTTCATTCCAATAAATCAATAAAGTGCTCCAAATGTTGTCAACTCAGTTGTCATTGTGTTGTTGACTTCACACCTTCCAATCATGATTGGCAAAACCTTAAAGCTGCTCACAATAAGCTTGAACTTGAAGAGACAAAAGCTTTTAAGACTGTCCAAGCTGCCTCTACCAAACTTCTTCATCTTCAAAAACAAAAACATCTTCTTCATGATCATGCTGGCAAATTTCTTGAGTTGAGTCTTCAGTCATTGAAGAAATTGGAGCATCTCAAGAAGAAAGAACAGAAGAGAGTGACTGAGCAAGCAGAAATTCAACAACATCTTGCTTCATTAAACAATCTTTCTTCATCAGAATCACTTCTTGAATTCTTCTTTTCATTCATTAATGCTCTTTTAAATGAGAGTGTCATTAATGATACATCTCAACAATCTTCTGAGTATTTATAAGGTTCTTCACTGGTTCCCAGGTGTTTTCTGAGATATCATATTCTTTTCATTTCATTAAATAGTGAAGTTTTTCACTGATCATCTGATGGTCTAGAATTTGTTCCACTTCATATTCTTGTTCATCATCAATTTTCATGGACATTTCTTTAGCATGTAGCAGTGCTTTTTCCAGTAATGAGACATGAAATACAGGATATATTCTCATCTTCTTTAGTAGTCATAGTTTGTAGTTGACCTTCCCAATCCACTTTTCAATCTTGTATGATTCCAGTTTCTTGAAATCAAGTTTCTCATTTGATCTTTTTGTCTTGATATTTCATCAAAGTAGAAATACTTTCTTCCTCTTCTTTAAAATAGATGCCTCCTGACACTTCTGATTATAGTAGTACTTCATTCTTTCTTGTAACAATTCAATGTTCATCTTCATGTAGTCTTGCAATTCTTTCAGTTGTATCACAGTGAGCTCTGCTTCTTGAGCTCTTTGTCATGCAACTCTTGATTGTCATTGTATTTCTGATTTTCTGTCATAATTCATATAGAATGGTGTCAGTCCTGTTGTAGCATTCTTTGACTCATTGTATGCTAGTTGTGCCATCAGTAGCAGTTCAATCCAGTTGTTCTGTTGGTAGTTCACATATTCTTATAGATATTATTTCAAAGTCTGATTTAATCATTCTGTCTGACCATCTGTCTGTGAGTGATAGACTGTTGACATCTTTTGTTCAATTTCTAATAATGTCATTAATGTCATTCAGAACTTGCTCATGAATCTTATATCTCTGTCTGTAATTATTTCTTCTGACAATCCATGATTGGCAATCACTGTTCTTAATACCATTTGTACTGTTTCTGGTGCATCTGTTGCTTCTTCAAACAGTATAAAGTATTCATATTTCATTAGTCTGTCAGTAATCACTAGTATTGCATCATACTTCTTTCCATCCATATTCTTTAATTTCAGGAGTTTCATGATAAAATCCATCACTATAGACTTCCATGATTCTCATAGTTGTGATATTGACTGTAGTTTTCCATGTGGTTGCTGCTTGTTGATCTTGCTTAGTGTATATATCTCACATTTTTTAATATGTTGTCAAAT